TAAGTTAAGGGACAAAGTGTACCCTTGGTAATGTGTTGATGAAATGTTTGTTGTATTTGTTTGCTTTTGAAAGTTGTTTGTATATAGATACAAGAATGTAACTTAAGGATAAGGAAGCCGCACACGAACCCCATTGCACAGGAAAAGGTTGCACCTTTCCCTGGTGCAATGTTCTTCAGAGGAGGGGCGTGTGACGGATTCCAAAAAGGGAACACCTAGAGAAAAGCGATGTGCAGACATAGGGCAGTGTGGAGAGATGGAATGTTTGGGAGGTTGATGGGCAGAAAACGGACAGAGAGGGAGTTGGAGGATGGAGAGTGAGTGAGGAGGTTGTGAGCGGTTGGAGGCTAACAGCCATTGGGAACTGACACATTTTGGGAAGAATCCCAGGGAGCGGTTTAATTGTTGGAACATAGGGAACGTGTATCTGATTAAGGTTGTGCTGGAGGAAAATGTGAGATGTCACAGTAAAGCCGTTTTATTCTTATAAACAATGGAGTCCGGTCACTAATTTCCACCAGTTTTAAGAGCCTTGGAGTGAACCAAGAGAGTTTCATCACGAAGAACGAAACCAGTGGGTAAGTGGTCCCCGCTACTACCCAAAGCTAGCAGTGTCCCGCGTAGGAGTGGTGTCCAAAAGGTGGTGGCCTGTAAGAGCCCGTGACAGTAGGAAAAACTGGCTTTGGCTATCTTGATGACATCATAAAAAAAGCTCACATCAAAACATAATACACAGACATACACCTTTCATAAAAACATAAAAATAGTTTTGTCACCTTACCTTATACCAATATGTTACTTTTTGGCTCTTTACCTACAGGCTAATAGGCTTGTTACAACTGCTACTGCCTTGTCTCCAGTTATCTCAGTATTCCCCCACACACACCAAATAGAATGGCCTTCCTGAATATAGAAAGTGTGTAAGGCAGAAGTGTTTAGGCCGAGGGTCCCTACCCAGTGTGGTGACCATGGGCACCAAGGAGCCCGCCAACACCTTTTGTGGTACCCACCAAGTGTTTTTGGAAAGTGGGTGGGGCCAGGTAGGGCTTTTGCCCAGCAAGGGTCTGAATGGCCGATGGAGATTTGATTGGCTATGCAGATTTTTTAAGATGTTGCTATGGCAGCAGCTGCCACCACAGCACAAAAATCTTCACTATGTGACTGAAGTAAAGCAATGGCAATAATTCTGTTGTTGGTTCCACCTCCTGTGGCAACCATTTCGTGGCTGCTGCACTCACCATGCCGTGTCAGAACCCCAAAGATGCCCACAGGCTCACTCAAAAAGTCTGGGGACCCCTGGTTTAGACCTTTGAAAACTGACTAGCAGAATTTACAGTTGTTTTTTAAGGTTTGTCACGGATGGCCTTTAAATGTCATTGTTTTGTTTTGAATGTGCTTTGTTGCAGAAAGGTGGGTTCAAAATGTGTTAAAACAATCCACAGTGGATATTATTGCCCGAGTGTGTCTATGGCTGATTCATGGGTGCATATTCACTACTTCACCGAGTGAATGGTCCATTGAAGATCTAACATGATGCAACAGAACACTTTTAGACCTCCTCAAAAACTTTTCAGTGTGGCAGTCGGTTCACACATTCAGCAGTTCAAACATTCATCAACAAATCATCACATGTTGAATAACTAAGCTATAAGAACCAGTCACTTATATCACATGTGATGGTCCACACACAGCACAGGTAGTGGTGATCATAATGGCTATGGGTAAGGAGGAGAATCCTGTCTTAGTGAGTGGAGCAGATTTTCCAGTCTCTTCAGCTATACCACCTTTCATGGCATGTTTAATACTATCAGGCTCGGACCACCCGAGAGAAGCAGCTGCACCATAAACACACACCGGATCTGGAGTTGCCACAAAAGCTCTCTCAAGTGCTACTGCCTTTACACACCACATGTCTAGCAAGAACACAACAGCTGCAAGCCCACAGCTCTTCCTGGCTGCAGCCGCGCTCAGTAAATCTGCATGTACGGAATTTCTGCTCTACCGCGCAGCTCAAACCCCTGCGGCTGCCTTATTTGCAGCAGCAACCAAGGCTAAGGGCCCGAAAACTAAGCCGGCGTTTCTAGCAAGCAAGCGGGAAGGGGAGGCTCTGCCGGTACCTGCGCAGGCAGTGCTCGCACACGCCTCCCAGGCGCTTCTTGGTGACGGTGTAGGCGAAAGGTTCCGCACGGTATAGCAACTCGCCGGGCTTCGCGTGTTTGGAGAGGCGCAGACCGTTGCCTTTGCCCGGACTGGCGAACTTCTCCATGTCCGCTTTGACACCGCTAAAAGCTAAGCAGCGAGGCCACCGCAACAAACCCCCTTCCCGCCTCTAACACCACGTGATAGCGTTCTCGTTGCCGCGGGAACCATTTTTAGTAAGGGCAAAAAGACCCGGCCTTTAGGACACCGCCGAAGACGTTCTCCCGCACCGTTCTCCTACAGAAATTAACAACGACGTTTTAGCGCTTTCTCAAGCCTCTCGGGAGGGTAAAAAAAAAAAGGAAACTTCCCTTTTCGCTTATTAGGCTGAAACAGCCTAGATTTTCGTGGTGGGGACGGGGGGGGGGGGGGGGGGACTGGGGTCCCCAGAGAGACTAGGCTTTTGCGCCTTCTGTGGCTGCATTCCACATTATGTCGAACCGCAGTGAAATCCGTAGGGCTTACTTCTCAATTGTAGGTTATAAGGTAATACTTTTAGTGGCTAGTCAATGCAATTTAAAACGTGGCAGAAGGAAATGTTGTGACTCACATACATACCTGTCATGAGGATGGGACCAACGTTCACATTACCACGCTTTATATTGAGTCAGGCTCAGGCAGGTCTGCCAAGAGCAGTATTGTTCTGTCGGACAGTGGGTTTCCCACCACCCATGCCTTGAACCTTTTAACTGGCCTTGTGTCCGGGATTCAACCTGAGACCACATGCAAATTATCAGTGCTGCTCTGAGCTAGGGCTCCACATCTAAAACATTTCCTGACACCTTCGGAATTGCATTCAACTTAAGTCCCCTAAGGTGTTATGTTATACCCACAATTGTCAGTATCATACTCACAGTTGAGCAATTCAGTCTTTAATTCTAGCCACTAATCATAATTTGTCCTTTAGAGTATGCTCCTACTGAAAATCAATATGCACTTTACAAATGTTAATGAACTGAATTAATCTATTTGGACCTTGCACTTGCAATAGACTGGTTATGGAAGACAGTCTGGAAGGGCTGCTTTTAAACTACATCATCAGAAAGACAATGATTTGAACTGCCTTGACCTGTACGGCATGTTAATTCAACTCAATTTATTCCTTAACATATTTTGATGTTCATTTGTATATACCACCGTTGTTTTCCTCATTCTTATAAGAACATAAGAGACGCCAATGCTGGATCAGGCCAAAGGCCCATCCAGTCCATCACCCTGTATCCCACAGTGTCCAGAAATACCAGTGCCATCAGGAGGTCCCCCAGGGGGGCCAGGACATTAGAAGCCCTCCCCCTGTTGACCCCCCCCCCCCAAGCACCAAGAAGACAGAA